TCTGTCTGTCTGTCTCTGTGTGTGTGTGTGTGTGTGTGTGTGTGTGTGTGTGTGTGTGTGTGTGTGTGTGTGTGTGTCTGTGTGTGTGCTGCTTGTCCTGGAAAATCACGGTTGTGAGAGGAAGGCAGGGGGGAGTGGGTGGAGTTTGGTGGAGTCAAAGGGAGGGGTAATCGTATTGCAGCCAGTCTCATAAATTCAGTCACGGCATGGCAGCTACCAATTTCATTGGCTAACACTGCGGGCCATTATTACGTAAAGATTTTATCATGACCAGCGAGTCCCTTTTGAGGGGAGTCGTTGGTCGTTCCTTCTAACTGACACGGTTGTGAGTGGGAGGAAGGGAATTTGTTTGACTGAGCGTGGGCAAGCATGTTTTAGTTCGTGTTTTGGTGTGAGAGTGTGAGTGTGAGGACCACCCTAGACGGTCAGGGACCACCCAATACAGCTCTCATGAGCCGGATAGTTTTCCACAGGATCCAGCCGTCGTTTACGTGCCGCCTACTTTATACACTTTAGGAGTTGAAGTTGACGGAGATCGGTCTGGGCCTGGGATTTTGGAGCTCCTGAGAGGTAAGGTCTGTATTGTACGTGTAAGTGTAGGTGTGAGAGCATACTTTATGTTCTTCACTTCTGAGGTTGGTTCAACGTCATGCATTGTGTCCGGTCCGGCCTGGGGTAACAACGGAAAAAGTGTCTAGATTGTGCTGTATACGAACTATAATTCATCAAATTATTTTAGTAAATTCCAGGCATTATTTTTTAAAAAATTAGTAGGGTTTTTTTTTACTTATGCACCCGTCTCATGTACACGTTTTATATACGGTACTTTTTTCTAGATCTAGATATTTTAGATACTATATAATAGTATTTTGCATGCTGAACACGAATAAGGCCTTCATTTTTGCCGCAAATCAATAGTTAATGAGTTTTTTATATTTGAAAACAGTAATATCTGACTTTGTGGGTTTCAGGGGGGCATGCCCCCTATATTTCACAATGATTTGATGTTTTGGCAATTAGGATTGATATATTTTACTTGAAATGAATTTATTTGCAAGGGTTTTAGCAGCCATACGTGTGTTCTACAGCAAACATAATGGCAATTTAGCCCTCAAATCAATGCAATGGATTATGCAAAAGAAAAGACTAGCATAGAATGAATAATATTATTAAGAGCGAGGGACTTTTTTATTTTACTTTTACTACCGTCTTATAGTATGTGTCTCACACATGCACAGGTATTGCAATGTATTATAATTATTATATAATATATTAGCCTCATAGTCATTGCACCTGTCCACTTAACAGCTGCCAAGATAACTTAAAATCTATGTTACACGTATTCTTATAATATAAAATGTTTCTTATATAGATCTATACTATATAATACACGATAGGCCGATAATATCATTATATAGATAAATAACCTCCTATTATAAGGCAGAAACATTTTCTCTTCTGTTTTAACATTGTCCGACAATATTTTTTTGATGATTCAAACACTGAGACTGGTCAAGATCTATCTGTAAGTATGCCTGTATAGATAGGTCTATTTCAGTGTGTGTACATCCCTCCTCTCTTGTTACATATCTCCCGCACTGGCTAAAAATCCACAATGCTAACCTTAAAACTAACTACAGTTTACAAGAAGACAGTTCTCATCACACCCTTTTATTTCGCCAAGGGCCACCTTTCCTCAAAAGTTTCGCAGCTGAGGTGGGGTGGGGTGGGAGGATCGAGGCCACTATGATAATTATGCGTACCGGTAACAATACTGCCGCCCTGAGTCGGGCATCGGTCAAGGTCCTTGACATCGGTTCACTCAAGGGGTTCACTTCAAATAGGAGAAGCTGTGGTCAAACCAAAGATTCTCTAGATTTAGATCTACTAGATCTAGTTCTTGGGTCAAACCTCGCCACTGACGCTGCCTATAGATGTTCTCACTCTCCAACGTAACGGAATCACCACGTCATACATGTACCGCTATTAGATCAATTAAGGACTCATGCTTGTGTGTGGGGGGGGGG